AGCGCTGATAACGACAACGTCAACGTCAACGACATATAAGCCAACATTTTCGTGTGCGACTCTCTGCGCAATATTTATTAAGCGCAGTTTCTCGCTCTTATTGAACACTAACAGCTCTCGCGAACTTCTGCAACTCATTCTTGCAAGGGAAGGATACTTGGCCGAAGATACCTTTCTATATGAGATGTACACTATTTTTTAGAACATGAAACTCTAATTCAAATCTGCTTCCGGTATCTGCAAAGCGCTTCTGAGAGAAAAGTTCTGGGAGCTTTTTGTGGTGAAAATTCAATGATTAGGTTGAAAAAAATAGGTGTTGAGGTCTTTCCGGCTCTTGAAAGGAGTAATGACTGAGATGACTTCATTACATTAAAAGTCTTTACATAAAACGGCCTGGTAGTAATCATGGCCCCTTTAAACTCACGGACTAAGGTTTGAATAATTTTGTTGTAGCAGCTTTTGAATTTTTGCATCAAAAAATTTCTATAACTACGTTCCTAGAAGCGCTTTGCAAATAGCGAAAGCAGATTTGGAATCAGCCTTCCATGCTCTATAAAACAATGTGCATCGCATATGAAAAGGCTACTTCGAGCAAGTATCCTTCCCTTGCAGTCCAAAAGAGTTTAAGTGAGATATATTGCCCAGAATTCTGTGAGAATTTTTACGGAAACCCAAACTTTCTTTGAAAACTTTTTCTGCAGATAGTCGCTTTAAGGCTTAAATAGTCTACAAAACAGCTTTAGCAGAATTCTATGTAACTACAGCATCTAAGCCCTTGAGTTCTCATCATACCTGATATAATCCTGCGCAAATAGGCCACTTTTCGCGTTGTTTCCTCTTCTGCGCACACTGGTGTAGCGCAGTGAAAAGCCAGGAAGGCAAGTATATGTTGTAGACAAAATTGTCTTTGCAAAGAAATTTGTAGCTCTGAAAAAAGGATAGATCTGCTTGAAGTTACAGCAACTTAAAAAATTTTTTCGCAAGTGCTCGGGAACTTTCTTTACGTCATAATACGAATTACGTGAAAACGAATCACCGAGTCTTTTGAACTCTATAACAAAGTTTTGATAATGTGGCAACTGCAGTATGATAGTGGTTAGAAATTTTACGGAGGTACTGTGGAAGTCTCTTCAGCGAAACTAACCCAAACTGATGTGGATTCAAGCATGAACGCTTGAGTACTTTGACCTAAAAAAGAAGTATTGGATTGTCCTAGAAGTAAACCCTTTCCTGGATAAATCGAACAGTTTTTTTCCTAGCAGCCTCAGGGTATTATTCTAAAGAACGAAGCAAGCTCTACAATATAACTTCTCGAAATTCCGTTTGATTCGTAATCCAGGTAAATTTGGATCCAACAATTTCTAAATACCCTAAAAAGCGGACGTTCTTCCAAAAAATTCCTAGGACCACGATCTTGTCACATCATACATTGGACTTGTAGTACCAAAAAACGTATTTGGTGGATTTTTCCAAGGACTTATATTGAAAAATCAAAATGAACAGAAAATGCTGAAATAGCACCTTTTTCGGTTTTTTTGTTAACTCTGAACTTTAAACTTCTAGCTTTTAAACTTGGTATTTCTCAATTAGAAGGCGCCTACAGAGTTCAAATCATAAGGTTGTACTCACTTAGGCCTGTAGTATACCATGACATAAGCGGGAGGGGCACGAGGTGGAGTTTGGAAGCAGTTAGTTAGTTTGGTTTGCCCTTCTTGTAGATATTTCTTTGTTTCTCGCTTTCTATGCGCGAGAAAAATCCAGTAATGGCACATTTGAGTACTGCATGTGTTTAATGTAAAATGGCCAAGTTGGAGGCTCGTAGGAGTTTTCTTCGCGAAAATTCGATTTTTGGGTGAAAAAATTATTTTCGATTGCGGGTCTAAACTTTACTTGGATTATGGCGAGGTGGATCCTTGGAGCCCACTCTGTAGAGCTTGCTTCGCTCGATGATACCTTAAGGGAGCTAGGTAAACGGGAACAGTTTGATTTATCTAAAAAAAAAGTCTACTTTCGGAACAACCCAATAGAATAGATAATTCTCATAAGACATGCTTTCAAAAACCCAATAGAATGGATAATTCTCATAAGACAGTTGTTTCAAAAGATTTCATTGCGTTGAAATTTCACAAGGCAGGTGATTCACCCAAGGCGCTTTTTCATTTCAGTAGAATAGAATTTCTCATAAGATAGATGCTTCCAAAAAGAATACATTCCGTGGAATTTTCACAAGGCGAGCGATTCACTCAGGGCGCTTTTTCGTTCCAATAGAATGAATAATTCTCATAAGGTAGATGCTTCCAAAAAGAATCCATTTTGATGAAATTTTCACAAGGCAAATCACACAGGGCGCTTTTTCATTCCAAAATAGATGATTCTCTTAAGACAGATGCTTCCAAAGCAACAAGAATCCACGGTAGATACACCAAAACACAAGAATCCATTTCGATGAAATTTTCACAAGGCAGGTGATTCACTCAGGGTGATTCTCCATTTAAGGAGACCAGCCAGCAGACAACTCATGAGCCCGTTGCTAGCTCTGCGGCTATAGCGATGGTGCCTCAGCTCGCCGCTTTTTTCATCCTTCATCATCTTTGAATAGAATAAAGCAAGCTTATTGACAAATGGTCTAGCTTCAATCTCTTTCTGAGATTGAAGTGCAATCTTAAACTCCGAGATCCACCTTTCTACTTGACCAATTATCTATTACTGAACGATTCTGTAACTAATATGTGAGCCGCACCGTCAAATTACTGCGTCTTACTATCTATTAGGGTAATCCAAAAGTAATGAAGCACCTAGAAAATAAATGGAGTTTTCTCATACAAAAACCTAGTTGGAAGTCTAACTTTTGGCAGGTGTTAGTACATAACAGAACCTTCTGATCGATTTCTACATATGAGCAACTTCATAGAGCGTCATTTTTATCAGCGCTCAAAAGCCATCACTTCAAGTAGTTTTGAGCTTTGAACAGCACCGCTGCCGAAAATGAGTGAGCCTACCCTCTGCGCAGCAATGGATGAGGAGATTGCACCAAATCCACGATTGCCTGGTGGTCTTAACGCTTTTGAAAATTATCTATTCTCTCAAGTAATCAATTGAGCTCACCCTTAATAGTTGCTGTCTAATAGAGCTTTTTACGCCCTCCATACACAGCAGTTTATCTGGAATAATCTCATTTTCAAAAATGAGGGCTAAAACATTTTTTAGCCTGAAACGATTTTTAGCCTGAAACATTTTTTAGCCTTGCGCCAAACATCACCCTTTTCAAATAAAGTGTTTCTTTTATACGAAAAATGAAGAATGTACATTGTACATTCAAATGACCATCAGAAAAAGCTTGGAAAGCTCTTCTGATTGATATGTCATATGTCTAAGGGCTTTGGGTGTACAGTAGCACAAATCCAGATGGCGTTGAGAAAATTTTGCCCGACTTCATCAAAGCGCCGCTCAAAGAATTGTAGGTGAGGTGCTGCAAGATGATGCCAAGATAACCTGCTAAGGTCACTTTATACAAAAGATTTCAAGTTGTCGGTTGTTCACGGTCAATCAGAAAAAATCGGTGCCCCATTACTTTGGATCACCCTAATAGCGATTCGCCACTAGCGGAACAAACTGTGGAGTTACTATTAATTTATCTCTATTGAACCAAGCTAGAAGAGAAAAGAGAACAAGGAGATGCCTGATAACTGGCAGAAAATCATTTGGAAGAGGTAGCGCGCGTTTTCGCGTTTTCGTTTTTTTTCACCTGACAATGTCGTGGTACAATAGATGCCTTATTGACCAACTACACACGAATACGGTCAAGACCAAGCAACTTTAATGCGACGTTGCAAACCTCAAACATGGATAATCAAACCCCTGCCATAGCAGAATAACAACAATGCACTAAAACCAAGTTCTACTGAATGAGCAAGTGAAAACAAAGTGCTTATAGCGATATTTCGAACTGCTTAAGCGCAATTCTAACAGGTAGACCTCTATCAAATTAAACTACTCTAATTTTGAGCAATTACAAAAGGCGCACCAGAGGCTTAGTAGCAAGAAATTTCAGTCCGGCGCACAAACGCTAAGCCTTCAATTTCGGCAACATGGAAAAGACTTGATTTGTTAGATGTATGTAGAAAAGCAAATTTCTGCCAAAGGATGAGAGGCACTTTCAGAGACTGCCGTAAAATAGTGTTGTTGCTGTGACCTTGCCCTCATCATCGCTTCCCGTTATGTTTTGTCATGGCTCATCTTTGAAATATCTGCTTAAATGATAACATAGCATGAGAAAGGAGATTGTAATTTGCAGCTTTTCATTTGAAAAAATTTTTTGTCCCCCCTGGTCCGAAATCCTGGAACCGCCACTGCTGTTTTCTTATAAGGGGCTATAAGGGGCTGTGCTGCACATTGCCTGTACAGTAGCTAAACATTCCAGGGCTCGGCACGTGCTGGCGCCAGGCAAAGTACAAACGAAGTCCCCTGGTTTTGAAAATTATTTGCGAAGATCCCTTTGACCCTAAACCCTAAATGTAACCCCCCCCCCCCCCCAAAAAAAAAGATGAAACCTCGACTCAAAAACGTCGCAATTTTTTCTCCTTTTGGCCACAAAACAATTCCCTCTTGCTTTTTGTCCCAAAAACGATACCCAGCTTGACCCGATGCCAGCTGTGCTGAGCCCTGCACATTTGTACCCCAAGGCTGCTGCACAACCCTGTTTTCGTTTTTTAAACTACAATTTCTTTTGCATATTCCCTACGACCTCTTCTTGACAATCCTCTAGCAGATTCGAGGCACATGGGAAACTACCGTTCAAAAAAAAATTCAGCATAAAACACTTTGCAAGCCACTACAGCTTTGTGTAGTTTCTTTGTCAGTAATATGCATCCTGTGATGAGTGACACTTCAACACCCTGTGTCCTTTCTTAGATCAAGTTCAAAGCTATTTATTAGCATATCATATCGTTTTGCAATCGCTTACACATGTTTGAAACATTCTCAAAACTGCAATTTTCGTAGGTTTTAGAAATGATGCTAACAAAATTCTCACTCATAGTCATGCTGGCTATTGGTTTTGCAATTTCTGAACTGACTCCACCACAGGTACGCTCATTTCACCACGTTGATTTCCATGTAAGCTCGTTGTTACAGGAATGGGTACGTAAATGCACAGACAAGCTAGTCAACAACACTTGGAAATCTGTGGGTTGCAAGGTGTTCGCTACCTCTTCTTGCCCTTCAGAACTATTGGCAACTGAACAGGTAGACTAATTTTAGCTTTGCTCTACACTACCAAGTCGTTTCAGGTTGCAAGAATCCACGGTTGACCATTGAAATTTCTATACTTCAGCAAGATTATCATCTCATTAAGTAAACTAGGCTTATCTTTGATCGAGCCACTGCCTTTGGGATGCAGTAGAACGTTCCAGATTCAGAGTGTCTTGGCTCGCAAAGCAAGCTTCATCATTAAAATAGTTTCCAAAATTTACCCAAGAACTTTTCTGAGTTTATAAACTCTTAAAAGAAAACTTGCTCTAACGATAAGTAGCGGTTGTAAAAACTCATTGCGAGATCTCTCTGACAAGGAAACAATGCTCGGTGTCCGTGGCCTTAAGCTGAGATATATACCATTACACTCGTCTTGGAGCGCTGTTTCCGAATCTGTCTTCCGTTTTTGCTAGTCGTTTCTCTATAAAAAGTTATGAAGGATTTTCGCGCTAAGGGGAATATCGTTGGAATTCCAAAATCGCAGGAATGATGTGGTGTAGTTGCTAGTGCGATGATTCACAAGTTAATGCAGGTTTGGGTTTGAGTCCTTTTGTGTTTTTCGGTTTTGCATTGCCTCAGTCAACCTTTTTGAAAGTTAGGCATCCTCGACCGCATGGGTGCGATAAAGTGAAATGACCCCTCTAGGGAGTGTTTCACTTGGTAGAGAAATTATAAAATGTCGACCGGGGGAGAGGGGACAGCCATGGTGTTCTTTCATCATTTTTGCTAGTCAAAGTTTATAATTTTTAACTCCTTGCCATCACTGGTTATCTTCTGAAACATGAACCGATGTGCTGCTGGATTAGCACACAATTATGTTTCTGACCAGCACCTTGTATTTTTTTACATTTTTCCTTTTCCCCTTTCTACATCATTCTTCCTGTTCTCGATATTCTATAAAAGATGTGCGTGCGAGAAGATTTGTTTCGGAAAGAGTTAGACAATTTTTAAGCATTCACGAATTTTTTTCAGAAAATAATCCGTAATTTTTGTAAATGAACAGCAGCGTCTGCAAGGGAAATGTTTTTAAGACCATCTTGTCCTCCGCTTTTAGAGCATATATAGTTTGCCTGAATTCTGTTGAAAAAAGTGCCTGGTGGATAGTGATTTTTGGATATTTACGAGTTTTTAGGCTAAAAAAATCTTTCTGAAGATAAACAGATAGTACATGGAGATGGTTACCGTTGCAACCGCCCCGCCCTCCGCTTTCAGAGAATATATACCTTGCGTGGAGTACTAAAAACGTGCCTGGGTGAAGGCTGTCTTAGTGATTTCTGGGTGAAACTTTTATAATGGGAGTGCTGAAGTAGAGGCTTTTTACCATTGTGAAAAGACGTCTACCTGAGCACTCCCATTATAAAACTCTTGCCCACCCTTCACCCGGCCTTTTTGTAATAAACCCCAGGCATAGTATGTATTTTCTGAAAGAGGACGAGACGGTTCTAATGATGTTCATATCGGCGTACATGATGTTCATCTACGACTTATGAATTTTTTTATGTTAGAAACTCGAAAATCTCCAAAAATCACTGAGCACACCCTTCACCCAGGCAGTTTTTTGGACGGATCTCAGACATACCACAGATCATCTAAAAACGGTGGATGAGGCGTTTCGATAGTCACTATTTATTTGTACCAGCTATCCATCTACAAAATATATGGTTTTTTATTTTGAAAACTCGTAAGTGTCCAGAAATCACTAAGCATACCTTTCATTAGGTACTTCTATAGACGGACTCTAGGCAAACAATTTATTCCCTGAAACCAGAGAGAACGTTGTGGAAACTTTCCTTGCTGACTTGCTGCGCAACTACAGAAGCTACTATTTTTTTCCTCCTGGAAGTGCAAATGCCTATAAATCTTCTCCTTCGTTTCCGGTGCACAAACAATTCCCGTACAAAAATCTCCTTTGCTTATCCTCACCTCACTGTTGATTTTTTTCTCGGCTTTTGGTGAAGGGGGTCACCTTGGTCCCGGCTCAAGGGTTGAAAGGGGGGGAGGGGGGATGAGCAAATTCTCACACTATCGCACCTATGCTCGACAGTATTCCTCTTAGGGCAGCATGCACTAACAAACCCGCGGGAATGGGATCGCAGCTTAAAAGAAAGCTTCATATCCTGAAGCTCCAGATATCTGGATTTAACGTTGTTTACGTAACCGTAAGTTTCCTACTACCCTTCACTATGAACACATTGAACAGCAGCGAGAAGCTGTACAAGCCGCAGTTTCCAGTATTTATATGATCCCTGATGATCCCCGGCACTTTTCTTTGAAGTTATTTTCCTTTCTCCAAAGTTAACGAGAAGTTTCCAAAGTTGTCCAGATTATCTAAACCAAAAGCGCTTAGATGTTGCTAATAAGAACAAGTGATGTATCGGCGCCATGAAATTTGCGATGAACCATAAGCCGAAAATTGTGGTTTATCGATTTTTCAAAGACTCATTTGTTCTCATCAGTAACATGCTTAGCACTGTTGTTTTAGATAATCAGTACAACTTTGAAAGGTTTTCGTTGACTTTAAAGAAAGAAAAATGACTATGAAGAAAAGCGCCGGGGATCATCAGGGATCATACAAAAGCTGGAAATTGCCTTGTACAGCTTCTCGCTCCTGTTCAATATGTTCATAGTGAAGGATAGTAGGAATACTTGCGGACAGGTAAACAGTTTGAAATCTGGATATAGGAGCTTTATAATATGAAGTTTTCTTCCGAGCTGCAATCCTCTCCCCAGTGGGGTTGTTAATGCATACGGCCCTTATTCTTAGGCGACCATTGACGCGAAAATCCTTCATAACTCCTTTCAGAAAAACGATTAGCAGAGACGGAAGTCAGATTCAAATCGGTGTTTCAAGGCGAGTGTGATGGTATATGTATCATCTCCAAAGGCCAGGGACACCATCGTTCCCTTATGAGAAATAAGAAGTTCTGTAGGAATTTTGCTGTTTAGATTGAAAAGAATGCTTCCAAGGCAGTGTTTAAAACCTCCCACTCTCAATCGAGCGCTGTTTCACCGTTATGAAGGAGCGCTCGAAGGAATGATGGGACGTTTAAAACGATGAAGCAGCGCTCGATTAAGATTGGGAGTTGATGATACTGCCCTAAAAGTGTCATCGTTTTTGGCTAAAACGCAAAATTTCTCTTCGAAAGTTGTGCAGAATGTTTGCTTAAAACGGGGGGATTGGAAGATAAGCTTTTATCGTTCATCACGAGGACATTGTAAGTCAAAAAAGCATGTATAAGTTATGAGTTTGCACGTACTACATGTATTAGATTGGCATAAAAGTGACGCAAATTTTTAGGTAACTTTTGTCATTTTGGACGTAGCGCGTTCACTTTTAGGCAATGTAATGATTATGATGTAAACTTCAAATGCCGACATTTTTGCTGAATTTTGCCACCTTATTTAAGGGTTACGTTTTAGATTACGCCAGATTTCGCTGAAACTTGGCCCATGGGCGTTATTCGACATGTTGATTACAAAAATGACAGTTTCGCATAAAAGCGCCTCTTTCGTGAAGGCGCTTAGTGAAAATTTAGCTTAGCGACAAACGAATATGACATTCGTACTCACCATATAGGATTAACCTATAGTGCAAAGATTTGGCAATTCTGACTTTTCGCAGTTTACTAATTGGAGAAGGCCCTCCAAATTTGACGCATTTGACTTGCTCAACTTCTCAAAGGTGCCGTATATCCATTTGTCTTCAAGTTTTATTTCTTTTTTGCTAATAATGTGTGAACTTCTAGCTACATGCTGCCTATAGCTGATTTTTGATGCAAGGGACTTACATATACATGTATAATTAATATCCGGGCTGTACCCAGAAAAATCGAAACTAGATATTCCGATTCCGTAAACTCTTATTCGCTCTGCAGAATTAGTGTTAAATCGTAATACCATCTTGGAAGTTTCAAATTCCGAACATTTATTGGTGTTTGATGGAATGTGGCTGACGTAGGCATGTCAAAATTCGATGTTTTCAATAATAACTCTTTTAGGAAATTATGGCGAGATATAAAAACGAGAAAAAAGTTACATCTTATCCCATGAGGTTTGCTCTATCGAATCGTTACTTGGACTCCTTTGGAGGATTGGTGGAAAATTTAGAAAAATTATGAAACTTGAGCATCTCAAATAGCATGGATGGCAGACTTTCGTAATTTTTTGAAGGCTCGTTGATTGTGCTGCAGTAGTTTCATAACCATTAGAAAGAGGATGAAATTCTGCATCGAATGCTTCCAAGTTCTCTTAGAAATCTTTGTTCCATCACATGTGGTGTCCGTTTGAAAAAAAGCGAAATTACTTTCGGAATGACCTAAAATTTCAGGAAGCTTGCAAAAAAATTTTTTGGGCGCCACGCACCTTCATCAAAAATTTTTTGTCGCACTTCCTCACCCCCCTCCTTCCCTCCCCTTCCGAACGGAAATCCTGGGCACGTCACTGGCCAAGCTACAGATCAGAGAGTGAAATCTCTTGGTTGGAAATTAGAGCAAAAATGACTCAGTGATTAGCTTTTGGATTCTAAGCGATGTAACAAATAATATTTTATACAATAAAATAAGGTAGTATTTTATATGATAAAATAATGTAGTATTTTTTATATATAATAAAATAATGCAATATATTATGTATATGTTATCTATAAAGCTGAATGTGTGTCTGTCTGTCTGTCTGTCTGTATGTCTGTACGTATGTGCGGAATAGAAATTTTTATTTCTGAACCGATTTGGACCAAACTTGGCACACATACACTTCGGGGCAGGGAGCGTGTCATAGGCTACTTTTATCGATCGATATCGATTTTATCGATTTTGTGCAAAATTTGAGCTACGGGGCTGGGAGTTGGCACAGGGGGGTAATCGAGCATGCTGACTACGAATATATTATAATAATGACAGGGCCGAGTTTGCCAGCTAGATTTACATAATCGCAATAAATAAATCAAAAGGAATTGCACGCAGCGAGTGCAACCTCTAAAGGTCTACGGATCAGAGATATATAGAGGTTCTGACATGACATGATGCGCTTGCACTAACGCTTTGAAAGTGAATAGCAGCAAATGTTCAAATTCACGCACAATTGTATAAAATCAGCTGCAAAATATAAAAATGTTCCTTGCTTGACGCAATTTCATCATAAGCCTCCATGTAATGTATAACAAAGCATAAAGCCTTGGGCATCTTCGGCCCATTTTACTTCGCAGGAAGAGGCGGTTGAATGGGTGCGAGCCTTTCACAGTGATTTGCTGGGCCAGCCGGCTACCAAGTCAATGCTTCTCCGCACATTGCTGTAGGGAGGGTGATTGTTTGGCTGAGGCTAGAATCGAACGTTGGCCTGACGTGGTCATAGCAGCATCTCATATTAATGCCATTCGTTACCATTTTTGTATAGCAACATTTTCACGGCAAGTTATGGCTGTAAGACCGACACAAGGAATTTTCAGGATAGCGATTTTTCCTAGCATGTTGAAAGTACAAACTTTCTTTGTGCGTCGGCTACACTTTATCTTGACTATAATACACTCCCCTTTCTGAGCCTGGACATCTGATGCTACTTCTTCGGTCACCACCAGAACACGAAGGGTTTGCCAAGTCTTCTCTCTATGCCAGTTTCACGATCTCATTTGTTCCTATTCCCCATTGCGCATATACACCATTTTTGGAGTCATATCACTACATGTGCGTTGCAAACGAGTCATTTCTTCAGCGAGAAAGCCAGTGGTGAGAAGTTCTCAAAAGGTCATCCAAGCCCCTTCATTACGTAAGTGATCCATATTTACTCATAACTTATTCTTATTAGCCTTGCGCAATATACACCAAATTTAGTTACAAGTTATAACTTGATGTTATCTTGTTGTCCAACATTTCTTTACAAAGATAGTCTGATAAAAGGTGCAAGCCGCTCTTTCACATGATTGTTTCAATATTTTTTATAATTAATTCCTTACTGACCTCTTGAAATTATATTTTTCATTTTCACGGCGTTTATATGGGCAATTTTATCAGCAAGCTTATAGATGATGTGTGCATCACCCTACACTTTCACAGAAATCAAGAGCTTGCATAATGCCTACGTAACCGATATCATTGAAAGGACCGAAGACGACTGCTTTGCTGCGTGTTTCGAAAACGAGAGATGCATTGCGCTACAGTATCTCAAAAATGTAAGTCACTCGTGCACCTCGCACAGGTACACTTTTGCAATTTTCTACTAGATCAAAAGCAGCTGTAAACGCATTTGCTTTCAATTATCTAAGGAATAAATTTTTTCTGAAAGGATAGTCAAAATATTTCTTGACAAGTGAAAAATTTCTTTATCGCTTTTCCCCTACGAAAGTACTCTTCATGACCGCCCGCCGCTGTTTTGGGTCAAAGCGACGAATGTAAAGGAAGGAAACTTCTTTGGTGGCATAACGCAGACTGAATTTGCTTTTGAAGCATTAAGCAACAGTGCACAAGCACTCAAGTCTTGCTTAGATCGTGCACCATTTCATAAAATAACGTACTGGTTCATCCAGTCCTGCATCTTCATGTGCACTGCTCATGAGATGTGAGTACAGCCTCTAATACCTAATGAAATTTAGACCGTGTGTTGGTTGTACGTCGTTGGACCTCATTCATTTGGGCCAATACAAGGCGTCAAAAACTTCTACAGGCTGAACCGTGATCCGATATATCTGCCAAGAAGTGTGGCTATTCCCATGCTGTGAAGACGAGATATACGTATCCTTTGAAGAGTTGTAATTCAACTTAACCCAGCTTCTATAAAACTTGCGCATTATGCTTTCTTGGATACACAATTTGTTACAAAAACTAGTGCGACATGGTCATATATTCAACGATCCTACTTTGGAAATAAATACATAAAATGAACACTGAAGACAGAGTCGTGAGTACTAACTCATACAATACCGCTAGTAATTGAGAAAAAAAACGACGCAATGTCGCCCGATTTATTGACTTCACCATAGCGTGGCTATATCTCGCTCTAGAGTAGACGTCTTCTTAATTCAAGGGCATCATTAGACTCAGCTCGGCGCGGCGCATCCTCTGACATATAGAAGTGTCCGCTTGGACCGGTGAGAGGTCAGATTCCACAAGTTGTTTCAGATTTTTGCTTACGATAGGTTACCTAATGTACCCTATTTTCAGGTGTATAAGCCGCACCCTTTTCACTCTAAAGGCGAACACGCCAAAAGACTGACTGTCATCATGGAGCGCGTTAAGTGAGAGCAGTATGCGATAAGGCGACCGCTTCGCGAGACATATGCGCGGCGGCACGCCTGGGTCTGCTCGCGTTTAGAGCGAAGATGGTGCGGCTTATACACCTGAAAATAGGGTACATATTCATTGCACTCACTGGGCAACCTGTCGTAAGCAAGGATCTGAAACCATTCGTAGAATCTGGCCTCATGTGTCCAAACGAGCACTTTAATAAGAGAGAATGCGCCGAGCTGAGTCTAATAATGCCCCTGGATTAAGGAATCGTCCACTTTGAGCCATACTGCGGTGATGTTACTTGAATCTGGCGAATTCGCGTCGTTCAGTAAATACGAATATTGCATTAGCAAAACAGCACATCCCAAAGTGCCCATTACGTGTTCCTATCCAATCAAGATTATCTAGCTGCACCATCAAGCACATTTTTCACTCATTCAAACTTTGCCGTCAGAAAAATTTGAGTGTGGGGTTTTCAGTACTTTTTGCAGCAGTGAAGCAGGACAGTTGATATTTTTACATGTATTGAGGTGAATTGCGAATGCCAAATCGGTATGCGTTATGATGAACTGAATTTTTTGCGCTTTCACAAATTTGTCTCTTTCCTTCCCCGCAAACATCTTTCATTTCAAATTTATTATGGAAAAAATATTGTTGTAACCCTAACTTCGTCGTCAACTACAGTCAACTGACTTCTTGACCTCATCTCCGTTTAAAGTGAAGAATCACTGTGCAGACTAAAATCTTGGCTTTCCTTTCCGAGTAACTTCACCAAAAAGAACACTATGCAGTGGAGCGGGAGAAACGCTTACGAACTGTTCATTAGCGGCATCGTGGAAGTGAAAGCTACAGCCAGTTCAGTGGCATGGTAATGGTTATGGTGGATATTTCTGAAAAAAATCTTTTCTTGGCGAAATTTCTGCCGATTTTCTGCCTAATGTTATCAATTGCATGCTCATTCAATGTTTTCTCTTTCTGTGCAACCTAGCAAAAAAACTTCCATAAATAACACCTTATAAGCACCTATGCAGCGAGATGTAAACATAGCTGGACGTGATCTACAAGTCAGATCCAATTTGCTTTCAACACCCATCTTGCCCCTTAGGCCTCGGACAGAGTTCAATTGATTAGATTTGATTATCGCGATTCAATCGCTACAAGACAAATGTTACGATTTTATTGCATGTTGATTTTCTTATATTTCGGTTGTGGTACTTAGTCACGATCAGTCGTGTTGGGTGTTGGAAAACTATCACATCTAAAATGCAAGAAGATCGGCATGCAATGATGTTGTTACAATTGCCCTGTCGCGATCAATCGCGACAATGAAATCGCATGAAATCTGCCCCAGCTTTATGGTTAAAGCAACACAAATCTGCGGTTGCCTGCGGCTTGTTTTATACAACACAAAGAGCATACACAGGCATGTTTCCATTAGGTCAATACAAAAGTTCGTGCCGTCTTTCTGTCTCTATAGACCGTCCGCGCAGGGCGCGGAGAGTGCGCAAGGTGTGTATTGCGCGTCACTCCTCTTCCCCGTGCACTCTCGCCGCCTATTTTCTCTGCGCTTCTTCTATCTTCGATGGATGCAACAGCGTTTCTCTCCGCGCGCAGCGCGAACGGCCTATAACAGTGATGCCCTTCTTGCTATTTTTTTGATGTTCGCACATCGTCAAGACCTCCAACCCATAAACTTTACTTACCTTCATTTTGCTTTTTTCTCAAAAATTTCATCTATTGCAGTGCTCCGATCACTGCTGAATAGAATAAACAACGCAAGAAATTGCATTTTTTGACATCTGTAGCGAGTTTTCAAATTTTCAAAATGATTTTTTGATGCCACAAATTTTCGCGACCTAGGATTCGTTAGAAATTGTTCTCCTTCTTCCGACAAACGTTTTTTCCCTGATTCATGAGGCTTTCGAGAATAAAATCATCGCAATTCTAGTTTCTAAACGCACCTCAAGCTGTACCCGAAAACTGCGAGATTTAATACCTCGGCAGTAAATCCTCAATTCCTTTGTTCAGTTAATGTTCAATCATAATCGACTTTTGAAAGTTCTAGATTCCGAAGATATATTAGTGTTTGGTTGCGTTTTTTAAGTTTCCCAAACATGAAGAATTTTGAAAAAAAAAGTGCTTCAAATACTTGTAAGTCGGTCGAAGAAGCCCAAAAATTCACTGCAGTGCAATTGTTGATTTCATTTATCTGTCATCAAAGCCCTTCCAAAAATGTAGAATGAAAATTCTAAAACATGGCTAAAATTAGGGTAGATGAGCGATTCAGAAACCTTGGAACAAACACTTGCAAGAAAGAGTAGATTTTTCGCATCGAACACTGTTCAGAATATTTGCCCATCAGTATTCTAAACAAGGGCGAGTCTGAAAAACGGCACGAACTCTGAACTGACTTTTATGTAAATTTACATGTGCAATACCGCTCACATTCTCTGAAGAATAGACGCGAATGTAGCATAACTCATACGACAGTCGCATAAGGGTTGGGCCAGACTGCGCGGCGTACGCGACGTACGCAGCGTACGCCGCGTATGCTCCTATGATGAAATATACCGAGCGTACGCTGCGTACGCCGCGTACGCCGCTTTCCCGCGAAGTCTGGCTCAACCCTAAGTCACGCAATGGTCATGTGACGGCCGAATGAGTGATGCGACGGTCGCCTAATGTATGAACATCACCGTCGCATGGCCATATCTCGCTTCAGAGTGGACAAATTTTCAATCTAAGCCACCATTCGATTCAGCTTAAGCTGAATACTCGCACTAATTAGTGCGAGTATTTTCTGATATATTGGAAGTGGGGGTACGATGTCTTCGATATTCCTTTTCCAGTTTTCAATGCTTTTGCGGAGGTCCTTTCGCGAATATGTGAAACAGCGCCTATCCAACGTAGAAGATTCCACTAGGCACTAGTCGATGATACTGTTTTTGTAGATTATTAAATGCAAGATGTAACGGGGGTTGTCTAGTGATATTGGCGGTTTAAACCGGATCGATCAATAAGGACACGGTCAGAATAAAGATATTTATCTCTATGGCAACAACCAACAACAAGAACTCGAACAACTTGAACAACTTAAACACTCAACAACGAATATGGGTCTTTCTGACCCGCTTTGGCCCGCTCAGCAGGGTATTCTAGCTTATTTCTATCTAAGGGGGGAGGTCCGCCTCTCTTCGACGGCTCTTTTAAACTCCCTGGAGCGCTCTCTTCACGCTCTGCCTGCTCCCCCTATCCACCGGTATTTATAGCCTGCTGAAGGGGTCAGCGCGGGCTTTTCTTTCCACCACTGGAGATCGGTAGGTCGGTGATCCGCGCCATGCAACAAAGAAATTGGGCTCAGACTTTTTTTCAAGAGAAGTAGAAATGTTGACGAATTCTGGAAAAAAGTCACGCGTTTCCAAATTCTACTCGCCATAACTTCCTTCGGAATAATTATATTTTGAATCCGAAAACAGCCTTAAAAAGATTCGCCTTGCTCAGCTCATCAAGGCGAATCTTTTTATATACAGCACTTCCCTTATGCTCCAATTTCAGTATTTTTGAGTTTTTTGCAGACCTCTCTTCGCAAACGTGCAAAGCAGCGCGCACTGCCCCATATAAACTGCAGCAAGAACCATTTGGTAGTACTTTTCTGCAAATTATAGAGCGCCAAAAAGTTGCCGTGAGCCCCTCTCCAAAGGAGAAAGAGGGGCTAGTGAACTGTGGAAAAATCTTGTCGTCTCAAATTTTACTCGTCTAGCCCTAGAATACGAAGCTATCTTGCTAAGCAAATGTAAATTTCGTAGTCAGCAAATCTGATAACCCCTATGAGCACGTTTCCACAGAACTTCGAGTTAATTGATTTTTTTTCTCGTTTCACGCTCTGAAGCTCGCCAGTGAGTTTCGGTCGAAATGGTGATGTTCTTGGTTTGAAAGAAAACCTCGCTCATAGAGGTTTTTAAAGACGCTGTTTATGAACGTGGTCTCTGTCAAGTACACGGTCTTTTTGCAGAGATATGGTGAGGTAATTGTAACGGAGTCACGAAAGCTCGTAATTTCGCTCGCACCTATTGCGTACCTGTCAGAAAACTTGCCTGCTTGCTTTCAAAGGTCAAAGTTACTAGGAACTGTGCCATCGAATGGTGCATGCCCCAGGCACCAATCTGTAACAGTCGCCGAGTTACGAGCCTACGAAAACACATCCTCATGCATTTTGCCCAAAAGAAGGTCGCACACTTCGTCGAACTTCCACCGAGGGGTTGCAAAAGACGGCGATCGAATCTTTTCACATCGCTTGAATCGTGTTGTGTTAGACTTGGTAGTTAGATAGATCTGAGCTCTACCCACGAAGTTGTTGTGATATTCAATCGAGCAGCTGAAGCACACGCAACCACCATATTCAATACAGTGGGATCCCTTGGGGCGAAGTGAACATAATATCAGCAATTTGAATGTCAAACAATCACTCACGGTGGAAGTTCGACGAAATATGCGATCTTAACATTTTTGGCAAAAGCATGAGGACGTGTTCTTGTAGGCTCGTAACACGGTAATTTACAGATTG